GATAGTCTGAAACTGCTTAGATCCATTAGGAGACACTGACAAATGGAGAAATTGTCACTCTGATGTGTACCATTTGAACTGCAATGTACAATGGAGAAGTTCCTATAGTGGATATGAATAAAATATGGTTCACAGAATTCCTAAACATAAACTATAAGAGCCTGATAACTAATGACCTAAAATCTTCCCAACTCCTGCACCTATTTATATAAGGAATTATAATTCAAAAACTTCCTTAGTCTTGGTTAGAGCTTCTGAATGAAACAGTTACTATTTAGCATGGTGTTACTGCAAGACGGACCAGGGCTTGACTAGTGATAGAAAACAAGTGAGTTAGCTGACAAGGATCTTATTTACAGTTGGTAGAAAGATTTAGAGTAGACCAATTTATGGTTTGACTATTGTAAGACTGAAAATGAAACATAATGGTGTACAAATGATTAACATGTAATTGCTAAAATTTATGAACTTTTATTGACATTTGAAAAAGAAGTATAAGTCAAAGAAAGTATAATAGAATGGGCTAAAAATTTTGGTTATGATACAAATGGAACAAAAAAAATATGTGGTTGAAAGGATTTAAATTTACACTGTGTTATAATCTTAAGGGGGGGGTGTGTGCAGTGGCTCAGCCATTAAAGAAGTTGAGCTTATCAGCTGGAAAGCTGACAGCCCAGGTTCAAGACCTAAGCATCGTACAACAGGGTGAGCTCCTGTTACTTGCCCCAGCTTCTGTCCACCTAGCAGTTTGAAAGCATACAAATGCAAGTAGATAAATAGATACTTCAATGGGAAAGTAACAGCATTCTATGTGCCTTGACAGTCATGCTGACCACATAATGTGGAAATGTCTTCAAATAACACTGGCTCCATCAGCTAAGAAACGGGGATGAGCACCGCCCCCTAGAGTCAGAACTGACTGGACAAGGGATAATACCTTTACTTGTATAACTTAAAATAAATTAAACTGGCTTGAAACTCAACATTAAAAAAGCTAAGATCATGGCATCTGGTCCCATCACTTTTTGGCAATAGAAGGGGAAGAAATGCAAGCAGTGACCAATTTTATTTTCTTGGGCTCCATGTTCCCTGCAGATGGTGACTGCAGCCATGAAATTAAAAGCCACTTGCTCCTTGGGAGGAAAGTTATGGCAAACCCTAGACAACCTATTAAAAAGCAGAGACATCATCTTGCCAACAAAGGTCTGTACAGCTGTGGTTTTCCCAGTAATAATGTGTAGCTGTGAGAGTTGGACCACAGAAAAGGCTGAGCACCGAAGAACTGATGCTTTCAAATTGTAGTGCTGGAGAAGACTTTTGAGAGTCTCATGGATTGCAAGGAGATCAAATCAGTCAATCCTAAAGGAAATCAACCTTGAATATTCTTAGGACAGATACAGGTAGTCCTCAACTTATGACCACAATTGAGCCCAAAATTTGTGCTGTTAAGTGAGAAATTTATTAAGTGAGTTTTACCCCATTTTATGACTTTTCTTTCCATGTTTGTTAAGTGAATCAATGCAGTTATTAAATTAGTAACACGGCTGTTAAATAAATCCGGTTTCCCCATTGACTTTGCTTGTCAGAAGATTGGAAAAGGGGATCACATCACCCTGGGACATTGCAACCATCATAAATGTGAGTCAGTTGTCAAGCACCTGAATGTAAATCACGTGACCATGGAAATGCTGCAACGGTCATAAGTGTGAAAAACAGTCATAAGTCACTTTTTTCAGTGCCATTGTAACTTTGAACTGTCACTAAACAAACTGTTGTAAGTTGAGGACTACCTGTACTGAAGCTGAAGCTCAATACTATGGCCATCAAATGTGAAGAGACAATTCATTGGAAAAGACCCTGAGGGGTCTGATCCTCTTTACATTAATTCTAAATGCAATTATAAGCTTATCTCTTACTCTGTGGCAACAACCTGTCTCCCTTCTTTCTATAATTTATCTTGCTTAATCAAAAACCCAAATCATGTTCCTTTGTTTTCTGCAAAAAGTCCTTGAGGTGTTGCCAATTGGGAATAAACATAGATATTGCCTTTTCTCGGCTCAAATTAGCCATCTCAACAAGTTCCATTTACATCATCTGTTCACAATTTATCCTAGATGTTACCATAATATCAGTATTTGATCATCTGGCTTACCTCACTGGTGGGTTCTTGCTCATGAACATTTCAATGGCTTTTTCGTCATCTGGATTTACAGTCATCTCTTCACAATCCTCTTCCTTCTGCATGGCTCCAGCTGCCCCCAGCACTGGCCACTCATCATCCTCTGCATCTGAGTCTCCATCCTTTGAGGCAGGTCCTGAAAAAGAAAGAAGAAAATATTTTAGAGGAAGCAACTTTAGATTACATTTTTCATTTAAATAAGTGGGGGAAGGGGTATTTGTTGCAGTAGAATGCCCATTAAACCCAGTGGCATTTAATCAATATCTACCTTACCTGTTAGGCCTACATAAATTGAAATGGGACTTTATACATGCATATTTTATGCAAAATACTACACCACAATCTATTAAATGGAGAGTTTACTGAACCTATATAATGATTATGTGCCATCAATCTGTGTTGACTCTTGGCCACCACATACATTTTCTCTATAATGGTGTCTCCCTAACCTGGTCCTTCAAGTCTTATATATAATACAACATTATGCAATATCATAAGTATATAACAACAGGAGCTAGAAATCAGCCATGTACTAGATATTAAAAAAACATTACATCAAATTTTATTTCATTATCCTGGATAAAGAAAATAAAAGCTCTAAAGTAACACAAGTCAGAAAGATTTCACATTTCTGTTATTGATTGTGAAAAGCTAATGATGCTTTCTGTCTATTAAAAAGTGAAAACAGCCCAGGAATTACCATCAGAAGTTTAACTCCAGCCTCCCTCAACTGATGATTTTCAGTCTGGGTTCAAACATGATTTTAGAACCTAGGCAGTTTTGCTTTCTCTGACAGTTAATCTCTGGGAGGGAGGCTGATCAAACTCCTGCTTGATCCTTCTTATATTCTTGGTGGGGTCGGTGTCTCCTGCAATGGAGATTTATCTTGCAGTTTCTCACAAGTGGCCTTCTAGATGGTGACTCTCACAATGGCATTCTGAAATCCAGGAGGCCTGTATCATTATACTAAGACGCCTACTAAAAAATCTATCCGTTCACCCTGGCTTTCCCTGTGTACATTTTATGGATTACTTTTTTTGTCCTAATTTGTTGCGTATTGTCATTTATAATTTTTCGGGTAAACCGCAGCAAAAACGTTCTTCAAAAAACACGTGTCTTTCGAAACACTTTGGCTGAGCAAGAAAATGCCTTATCCCGTCTTTCCGGCTCCAGCCACAAGCTTTCTAGACACACTCACCCAGGACTGTCGTCTTCTTCCTGGGCTCGTGGCTCCTGCCGGCGCCGTGCTCGGCCTCCAGCTCGTCTTGCTGGATGCGAGCCTGGAGCAAGATCCTCCGGGAGAGCTTCTCGTCCACATACTCGTCCTCCTCCTCTCCCCTGCCACCATGCTTCCCTGCCTGGCCCCGTCGCTTGACTCTCGTAACGGGCTTCACGGCATCGCTCTGAGCAATCTGTTCGGCCAAGGGGACGCTCGTCGTCGTTACCCCACTAGAGCCTCTCGGCCGCTTCGCCTTCGGCATGATCTCCGCCGATGCAGCACGCAGCTCCGGCAGGAAATCGGGCTGCCCACGCGCATGCGTTCAGCGCGCGTCACCCGGGTGCAGAGCTACCACTGAATATAGAGGTGACTCCGGAGATCCTAGAGACTTTTTCAAAACCTCTCCGAGAGACATAAGCGTCAGTTTCCTGCTTTTTCTTTGGAACTGATATTATTAATAATTATTATTATTTATTACTATTACTACTATTACTATTTATTATTACTATTTATTATTACTTGTTATCTTCACCTGACCTTTTTGAGAATAGCACTGTATGTGGTATTTCAACACAGATGCGATGCACTGTTCTCAGGGGAAAGAAGGCGTGCGGTGGACGGAGTCAGTGGCCTTTCGTGTAGTCTTTGGCCTATCGAGACTTTTAAGATGAAGCTGTATGAGACTCGGTAGTGTACTTTTATTGCAAATTGAAAGCACACAGACTTACATTTGATCAGTTCGGAACTATTGATAATTCCTGTCGCCACCACTGAAAACAGTAGCCTTTCGACTCAATCTAAAATCATAAGTTTATATTTGAGACAGTCTACTTGACGAGATCCGGTAGCAAAGACCTTTCTCCACTTCCATATAGCCGTGCTCGCTTCATCAAGTTGTTCAGATTGTTATTTGCGCAATCCTTATGTAGTGTGATCGCAGTTGCCCTAGATACGGTTAAAACCCCACTCCCTTCTAACATCGATAATATTACCGAGTTGGGTAATGAAACATCTACGGGGGGAGGGGGGGAAACCCAAGCTCAGAAAGGACCAAGCACCCCACAGTTCAACCCCGAGTTACAGATGTATTCTCTTTATAGTTAAAGCAGCCCAAGTGATATCTAAATGAAAGTTAAGTTTCTGCCCGTTAAAGCCAAGTGGGAATCCACCGGTTTCCAGATAAAAAGGACAATTTAAAACGATCAAACTGAGTAATACTGGGAGTGATAATTCAACAATGCATGGGGAGAACAAATCTTCTTCGCCTACTTTAAAATTTGCATTCCTCTTGCCTTCATTTAAAAACAACACGCGCACGCCACAAATTTGTTGGACAGCCGCTGCCCTTGGAGCATATGTAAAAAGCACCACGTCTGTTAGTGTGTTATTATCGCAAACGATCTCTTTTATTTATGCGACAACCCGTGCATTCTTATCAAGGTGTTTCTTGCAGAGCTAAATGGGATTAATTCTGCGTAAACATCACAAAGAACGTCAGGGATTATTGAGCAGGAGCCATCGTTCCCAACGCCACGGGCGGCGTTTTAGAAGGTGATTGTTCCGGATCGTCCCTGTAATCATTCGGCTACGTCACTTCCGCTTTGGTTTCTTCTGTTAGAAGCGAGGGCAAGGAAGGCGAGCTGCATCGTGGGTCTGGCTGGGAGGTCGCTACGCGCTTCAAAATCCGAGAGGAAGCAATCCCGAGTTGCGGACTCCCTTACTGCAAGAACCGACCCAGTGGCACGCGGAGGCCGTGGCAAGCATGGGCGTCACCTGGTAGGATATTTTATTGATCTTATGAAGCTGATAAGGTAGTGAAACGCTTTGGTTCGAGCGCTTAAGGTGCGGTTGCACATGTCAGAACAAGGTTGGCGCCTAACAGAAGAGGTTCCGGGACTGTAGTATGTTTTGTATCCAAACACTGCCATCGCAAGTAACACGAGAAAGGCCATAGAACAGCCCGAATAGCTGCAGACATTTTAAACTTTTCGTACGGCGGGTGGGCGCAAATTTCTGATTTTTTTTATCCTCTTGCTGCCAAGGAAAATATAACGCAGCCACCTGGCTAGATGCTCAGGACTGCCTCCCATTACCTTCAGTCTGCCCGATTAGGGAAGGCGGGGATCCTTGACCAGCAACCCCGGAGGCCGCCAGGTTGTGATAGATCGCGATACCGAAGAAGAGACGCGGCTAACATCTCAAGAGTCTCATGATCCGTGGTTTTGTGATCGTTTTGACGGCGGCGGCTGTTTTTATTTGCAGCAACGGTTAGCCCACGGCCGCATCCCCAGTCAGCCTTTAAAAAAGTGTTCATTGTGGTGGAGGATTTCCTCATGAGCATTTTACATCGCCAGAAATACAGTTGTGAACCCACATCTGATCTTATTCTAATGTCAACTCCAAAAAATGTTTTTGTGTAGTAACGTATTAGTAAATTGACTGTGTGGGATTGTAGGTTTCACTGTTTCAGTTTCGTTCGGACCAAACAGAACGTTTATCTTTATTTTTTTAGAAAAGTATTTGGGCACCAACAGACTCCATGAGTATGAGGCTATGTTTAGATGTCATATTTCATGGGAAAATATTTACAGCTTAAAGTAGGGAGACAAAGTCTACAGTCATATGCTGTCTTTGCCAGTTTGTTCTGAGCCCTAATGTATTATCTGAAGGGACCACAGGTCAATGTATGGCTTACCTTGTACTTTCATTTTGACTCCTCAGGATCAAAAGGACTTGGGTGGGAAATTAATCTAAAGGGGGTTCAACCAAAGTCTCTCTAGGTAAAATATGTTTTCTTACTGTTCCTCAATTCATTCTCAGAGGAAAGGAGATAACAAAAAGATAACAGTGATTCTGGACACATTTGGGCAACTATGGCATTTTACTGCCATATGAAACCAGAAAATGTTATTGGCTAGTCACTGAGAATACAGGCAAAAATGTCTGCTGACAGCTAAATCAATCCTGATTTTTCTGTTATTGGACATAGAATATCTTGCCTATGGTTATTATCGGACAATACTTAGTGAAAGATATAAAGGCAGTCTTCTCATTTGATGCAGATTAAGGATGCTCCATTTCTTATACTTATTTCCTTGTGTGTATTGTCTCCCATAGCATTAAAACTAGGGGGTTTTTGGAGGTATGTATTTGTTTTTCATAGTTAAAAAGACATATTTCTTGTGCTAGTGTATCTCAGATGCCAATAGCAGAGGGGAAAAGTGTTCAGCAAACAGTTGAAATCTTAACAAGAAAATTGGAGCTACTTGGCGCAGAAAAACAAGGAACATTTTGTGTAGATTGTGAAACCTACCACACTGCAGCCTCCACAATGGGCAGTCAAGGTGAGCTTTTTCTGTCTTCAAATTGGTATATTCAGATCCTTCCAGTACATTTCTATTTTTTAATTGGAACATGGTAGCATTTAGATGCATCTCAGCAAGTAACTTTACAGCCAACATTTTCTGTAAAGTAACTTTTATCATGCAAAGAGTAACTTTTGGACATAAATATAGTCAATTTTAACTTCATATACTAATCATGAACTAATGAGATTGTAAAGAAACATGTTGGAAATCTAGTACCTTGTGTATATATAAAATATTTTATCACATGATGCTGTCCTGTTGGCTATTTAGATACTTTATCGAAGAATTAAAGTTACTGTGCTTTAGTTGTTTGTCGTACCTCAGTCATGTAAAGATGATGTACTATTAAGTCTTAAGTGATAGGAAAAGCTAATAGTTTAACAGCAATCTTGATAACTTACAGCAACGCTACATTTTTCCCAAGTGCAAAAACATGCTTGTCTGCTCAAATACACCTGGTCAATATCAAGCTTTCCTACCTGGTTGCTGGAAAGAATTATTTATTATATAACTTAGAATTGTAGTTGATCACAAACAAAAGCAAGATGTGGCTGAAAAGTCAGTCTCAGTTTTGGGCTCCATCATTAAAAGTGTAGTTTTCTAATGACCGGAAGGAATAGTTCCATTCTATTTTATATTGATCAATAGACTCTTGTCTTAGATAACCATTTATAGGGACTGTATTTCACAGAATTCTTCCTAAAGAAGACCAGTGAGGATAACTATCTGGAAACTAAGTCCTACAAGGAGAGACTAAAGAAACTTAATAAATATTCTTTGAGAAACATTGACTGAGGAGGTGGTATAATACTGCTCTTCAAATGAAATTATCTTAAGTTACAAAAAGCCAAATTTTTTTGGATGTTAGGAAAAAATTCCGAATGGTAAGAGTAACAGTGAAACCAGTTACCAGCTTGAGAAGCATTAAAGAATCTAAATAAGCTGTTGGGAATGCTTTAAATTGGATTTTGGACAAAGCAGGATTGAATTCAGTAATTTAACTGTCCCCTTATGATTAGAATGCCATTTTAATGCTTTTCAGAACTTTATGCATTTTCATCCTGTTTCTTATGTAAACAAATATGCTTTCCTTTTTGGTACCATTTTGATTTAAAAGTTGCCTTCCAAGTGCTCAGTAGAACAAACAAATAGAGGATTAACCTATTTTTTATAAGATTTAAAACACTGCAGTATTAAAAACACTTATTTAGGGAGTGTTCTCCTGATCTGTATTAGAAGAGATAGATAGATAGTACTTTACCTGTTCTGGATGCTAGCTGTAAGGAAATACATATGGCAGGACCAAATATTCTATTTAAACATTTGTTTATGTGGCTGTCCATAGAATGTACAGCTGTTTCTCCTGAAAATTAGTTTTGCTTAGGCCTAACCTACCGGTAAAAGTCTAAAATCCATTCACTTGGAAGTAAATCCTTACTCCATGAAGTCTATTTATTTATTTATTTATTTATGAGACTTATATACCGCTTTAAGTGCAAGCACTCTCTAAGCAGTGTACACCAGTAAGCAATATTTTACCTACCTCGGAAGGATGGAAGGCTGAGTCAACCTTGAGCCGGTGAGATTTGAACCGCTGACCTGCTGAACACAGTCAGCTAAAGTGGCCTGCAGTACTGCACTCTAACTGCTGCGCCACCTTGGCTCTTCCATGTTTTGCTAAGATATCTTCCTTTCCTGGATTGTATTGTTAAGTCTTGCAAGTATTTATTAAGATTTTGTACAAGAATGATCCCTGCCAGTTTTCATTTTCAGGCACCTTAAAATATGTCCATTAGAACAGGGGTTCCCAGCTCTTGGGCCATGGCCCGATACCAGGCCATGGCCTGTTCGGAACTGGATTGCACAAGCAGCAGGCGAGTGCACAAATGGAGCTACACACGAAAGCATGCTTTCCCCCCCCCCCCATTGCTGTCAGTCCGCAAAGCTGGAAAGGTTGGGGATTGCTGCATTAGAATGTAAAAAAAATAAAATTGGAAAAAAATGGAAAACAGTACTGAACAGGTCGAACAAGCAATAATTTTTTGAATAAAGTAACTCAGTTGCTACTTGAAGAGTGTATGTTAGATAAGATCAATGTTCCTCTATCTTAGAATATTGTTTTTAACTCTATCATATAACATCATTATATTTTACTTACATAAATCATCAGCAACCATCATTGTTTATGGAGAATGAATAAGATAAATAGTCTGTAATAAAATCAAGTGCCTTGAAAGAGTAATAAAAATGTAATAGATGTTACAATTTTTCAGGTTTCTAAGAGAGAAGAAATAGTTTTCTTGAAGTGAAACTCATGCTGCTGTTGTTTCAGGACAGGGTGCCAAACTGATGTATGTGATGCACAATTCGGAATATCCCCTCACCTGTTTTGCTCTCTTTGAAAATGGCCCATGCCTTATAGCAGATACCAACTTTGACATCCTTATGGTGAAATTGAAAGGCTTCTTTCAAAATGCCAAAGGGAACAAAATAGAGAGCCGAGGCACTCGGTATCAGTACTGTGATTTTTTGGTGAAGGTCGGCACAGTCACCATGGGGCCCAGTGCCCGTGGAATATCTGTTGAGGTAAGAGTTGTCTGAATTAAATAGCATGATTAATATTTAGAATAATAGGAGCTTTTTATTTGAGATCATATCCTGAAAGTGTCATCATGCTGCACATATAGCATAATTAGTGAAAGGTTACATAGTATATTGGCTACATTTCTAGAATAGAGAACCTAGCTTGACTAGAACAGCATAAACAAGCTTGGGATAAAATTGGAGTTTGTTTGTCTTGTGGCAAACTGGCCAAAATATTCAAAATTGACATCTGTGCCTTACGATTTGCAGGGAATTCTTAATGTAGCATAGAGATGATTAAAGCTAGTAACTTATGTGTTACTCTAAGAAAGTTGACCAGTCTAAGAGAAAGTAGAAGAATGATATAAATGTGAATAAAATTACTCTGATCTTGCCTAGAATAGAATATATGCATGGAAGTGAAGACGTAGATTTAATTGTAATGAAAGCTGCCTAGAGCAGGGGTGTCAAACTGCCAGCCCGCAGGCTGGATGCATCATAGCGAAATCGCGCCCACCCCATTGCCGGCAATGGAAAGAAGTTATGATACGTCCCGACACGTCATGTGATGTTGTGAGTTTGACACCTCTGGCTAGAGTCTAAAATTTAGGTGATTTAAGTCAGTAAATAAAGAACAGGATTGGAGCTAAAACGTATGTCAAAAATTATGATTTTCCATCATCTAGATCAGGAGTGTCCAACCATGGCAACTTTAAGACTTATGGATTTCAATTCAATTCCCCAGCCCAACCAGCATGAGAGTTCTGGGAGCATATGAAAATAGAAATTTGTAAGCTGGTGAAAGTTGAAGGGTAATAATGCAAGAACCAGGAATGAATTCTGGGGGAAATTGCAATATTCCAAATGGATGGAATCCAGGGTTATTTGACTGGATGGGTAAAAAAACAAAATGAAATGATACAAAAAATAGTGGGCTATTTAGATACCCAAGAATGAATAGACATGTTTAATAAGTATTTGCTCAGAAAAAAGTATTTTTCAAATACATTATTTAAGTCTATTCATGCATACAGAAAGAAAAAGAATGGATTGAAAAACATGAGCAATTGTTTATACTGAAATAATTACTGAAGGATACCAAAGATGATGAGAGGTTCTGAATATAGAACAAACCCTTCTTTCATAGCATCAGAAATGGATCTTGGGAAAAGATGGACATAGAAGTAGAAGAAAAAGTGAAAGAACTGAGTGAAAGCAGAATATAATGCAGGAAGAGCGAGAATGATTGCAGAAAAAAGATTATGGAAAAATACTGTACATTGTGTTTAGATAAAAAAAAATAACAGCAAAGAATGTAGTCAAAGAGCAAGAAACAATTAAGATCTTAAACAACATGGAAAACAAAGAGCAATTCTGACAGAAATAAAAACATTGTTTTGCATGTGGGAAAGAAGGTTAAATAAGGAGCCTCCAGAATGGATGGATCTAAAAAATAAAAACAGTGAAATGATTTCAGATAAAGCCAAGTGAGAGAATGATGGCAGGGATATTTTAGAAATTATCATACTTTGGGTACATTATATGAACACTTAGCTCTGTAGAGAAGACTACAGTATAATTCTGGGAAAGGTGGAAGGGAAAAGAAGAGGATGACCAGTACCAAGATGGATAAATTTGACTACACCAGCTATGGATACAACATTGGAAGACCTGAAGGACCAGATTGGGGATAATTGTCCTGAAGAAAATGTATCTATGTGGTTGCTAAGTCACTATTGTCAGTCTAATAACCTACTGAGTGAATAGCTGTGAATGATTCACAGAAATTAAAAGGTGTATTATATCCTCTCGTTTCATATATTTCGGGATAAATGTATAAGGAATGCTTATGTTAACATTAGAGATATATTGACTGGGATCTTGAATATGCATGCACTTTTGATTACAAACTATGCCATGTTATTACTTAAGAACTAAATGATTTGTAGTGAGTACAGATATTGTTAGAATGTTCAGTAAAAAAAATAGGAAACGTATGGAGAAATTTTAAGATATGTTGATAGAGAAATACTGGGATAGTATAGGTCTGTGACAAGGAATGAAAGTTTGTGAAAGAACTGTTTTTTATTATAATTTTGTAGATAATTTTAAAAGCTTACTTGTTACGAGTAACTTGTAACTTACTTGTTATCATTTTATAAGATGTATATTTGCAATATTTTGAATCTTATCTGCAAGCCCTATATTTGTTTTGTAGCAATATGCCATATGCCCAAATTTAAACATAACTAGACTTTGAGAACATATGTGTGAATATTCCCTTTTCCCTCAAGCTTTCTGTCTAATTGTTATTAACTGTAGAACTAATTATGATTGATTCATTATTTAAATTTTTTGTTAATTGTTGTCAGGTGGAATATTGTCCATGTGTGGTAGCCACTGACTGTTGGAATCTTGTAATGGAATTCATGCAGAGCTTTATGGGAAATCATGCTCCTGGTATCCCCTCTGTGTTCAGTAATAAGCATGACAGCATCTACAGTCCAGCTGATACAATAGTTCAATACATGGAACTTTTCAACAAAATTCGCAAGCAGCAGCAAGTGCCTGTTGCAGGTATCAGATGAAGAAGTGTCAGAAAATGTTCTTCAAGTAAGCAACCACTTTGTTGAATAGCAAATTCAATCCAGTATTCCAGATGGCAGTTATTACCCATCAAAGCAATATGTCTCTGTTGTAAATATCTTCTTGTTGAAGATGAATGTTGTCTCATATCAGACTCAGAAATGTATGCCATAGTTACTTTGCCCTTGTTTTAGATTCAGGGAATCTAGTCATGAAAACCAATAGCTGTACTGTTATAATTTAAATTTTATGTTAATGAAAACATAGAATCTGTATGTGTAGGTTTTTAAGGATGTTAATTGTCATTGTATTCTGTCTAGTAGGGATTAATTATTGTTTAGTTTGTATTTTGCTCCTACAAAACCTTTTTGTTAGTTCTTACATAAATATATTAATCTTCTCGATTAAAAAGCTGTTAAAAGCTATTTTCTAATTAATTTAGTCAAGACTTGATAATTACATAACTGCCTATGTAACTAACTGTCTCTGTACAATAACCTTTCCATAAACTCTGCTTGTGTTGAATTTTATGCTGTTCTATGCAAGAAAAATAAGACTCTAGGTTTTAATGAGACCCTAGTAATGAATTCCCTTCCTGTACAGAGGTAACCACAGCCTTTAAAAAAAGTTCTAATTATCAATTAGACCAAAGAACTTAGGCGTATGTTTTTGGTAATGGGAGTGGTAGCCATCAATAATGCCTAATAGTATATCTTAAAGATCCCTGAAAAATATCTGTTCTCTAACCCTAATATAAGTCTAGGTAGTAGTATGCTTAAAAATTATTTAGGTATTTTTGCTTTCTTAACTCTAGTATAGTATGTGTGATAGTATAATTTCAAAAATGTTTTCATTCTGGTACACTAATATTTGTAGAAGGGGCGTTGTCTTACCTGAACACCTTTTCTCAGCAGGATGATGTAGAATCCACTGGATGGGTTGTTACAGCCTTCCTGCTCAGCAAACTAGGTCAGAACTTTGGCCACGCCTCTCCTTTGGGCGTGCCTCCCCAGTTTTGACGAGACGAAGCAGCTCTGATGAATTCTACACAATGGCTCCATTTGTCATAACACCTGCCTAGACTACCAACATGAGAGGGTGTGGATTCTACATCATCCTGCTGAGAAAAAGCGTTCAGGTAAGACAACGCCCCTTCTCCAGCAGGATGACTAGAATCCACTGGATGGGACATACCAAAGCCGCTCATGTCCCCTCGGGAGGGAGAGTCTAGGCTGGTGAACCTTGAGAAGAAACAACCTGTTGAAGTACACGCCTGCCAAACGCAGCATCAGCCGCCGCAAAGGCATCTACACGGTAATGTTTGACAAACGCCGAAGGAGAAGACCACGTTGCAGCTCTACAAATCTCCACCGAAGTCTGCGTGGACCATGCAGCCGACGTGGCAGCGCTGCATGTCGAGTGGGCCGTAACATGCGAAGGGACAGGAAGTGACTGAGAAGAATAGGCTCGAGTTATACATGCCTTAATCCACCTACTATGGTTGAAGAAGAAACCTTCCCCATGGCCGAAGGTTGGAAAGATACAAATAGGGCCTCCGACTTACGGAAGGATGAAGTACGCTTCACGTAGTAACGCAGAGCTCTGCGTACGTCTAACTTATGCCACTGTCGTTCCAACCTGTGTGTGGGATTGGACAGAAATTGGGAAGGATTAATTCCTGAGACCTGTGAAAAATAGTGTTAACTTTTGGAACGAAGGAAGGATCCAGTCTAAGGACTACCTTGTCTTCAAAACAGGTGCACAAATCCTCCCTGACGGAAAGCGCGGCTAATTCCGAAATCCTTCTAGCTGAGGTAATAGCCACCAGAAACGCCACCTTTAAAGACAAGAAGTGGAGAGAGCATGAACTGAGAGGTTCAAACGGAGATGATATCAAAGCCTGCAACACCTTAGTTAAGTCCCAAGATGTATAGCGATGTACCACGGGAGGTGTGGTGTTAACCGCTCCCTTTAGAAAGGCACTGATCGCTGGATGTTGAGACAAGGGACTGGAATTGTCACAGGAGAGAACCATTGAAAGGGCTGCTAGTTGCCTGCGGATAGTACTGGATGACAAACCCTTGTTCAAACCTTCCAACAGATAATCAAGAATATTTGGAATAGTGACCGAAAGTGGGTCCAACCTTTGTACAGAACACCACTTGCAGAATCCCTTCCATGTGGCATCATAAATCCTATTCGTTGAAGGGCATCTCGATGCTTGTATCATCGAGATTACCCCGGACGAATACAACTGCCTGGCTAAACCTTCCCGCTCAAGTGCCAAGCGGCTAGCTGCAGCCACTGCAGGTCGGGATGTAGGAAGTTGCCCTGACTGAGGACCACTCGGTCCGGAGGAATTCTCCACGGAGGTGAGATCGAGAGATCCACAAGGTCGGCAAACCACGGACGCCTTGGCCAATGTGGAGCAATCAAGACTACCTCTGCTCCTTCCAGAATCAGTTTGCGTACGGTTGCTGGTAACAGAGGAAGTGGTGGGAAAGCGTACAGAAGCTGCACCAGCCACCGACATCGGAGGGCATCCGTTCCCTCCGCTCCCCGTGTCGGGAACCTGGAGAAGAACTGGGAAGCTGTGTGTTTGTCGGGGTGCCAAACAGGTCCAGGTGAGGTCGCCTGAATCTCAGTGAGATCTCCTCGAACAGAGTTGGGTCCAGTCGCCATTCCACATGGTCCACCTTGGCTCTGCTCAGGGAGTCTGCTTGACGATTTCCCTCCCCTGAAATATGCTACGCCCTGATGGAACTCAAATTTGACTCTGCCCAAAGGCCCAGAGCTGATGTTTCTCGCATCAGTTCCCAGGACCGGATCCCTCCTTCTTTGTTGACGTGAGCCTTTGCTGCCACGTCCGTCAGAACGAGGACATGTTTCCCTTTTATCAGAGGGGAGAATTGAAGGAGTGCTAGGTGTATGGCCCGGAGTTCGAGCCAGTTGTTATTGTGGGCAAGATCCAATCGTGACCACTGCCCCTGGGCCAGATGGGTCTTCAGGTTAGCTCCCCAACCGAACAGACTCGCGTCTGTTGTGAGGGTGATCCGGGTGGGCTCCCTGAATATAGTTCCCTTGGTCATCGCGGATGATGTCCACCAAAGTAGAGACAGTAATGTGTGATGTGGGACTGTGACCCTCCTGTTGGAGGAACTGAGGTTCTGTCTCTGATAGGGAAGTAGGAACCATTGTAGGAGCCTGGAGTGGAGCCTGGCCCACGGAATGATACCCATGCAAGAAACCATCTTTCCCAGGAGCTTTGACAGTTGTGCCAGAGGCACCCTCCTGTCTTTCTGAACCAGGTGAACCAGTTTCCTGATGCTGGTCTGACCTTCCGGAGAAAGGTATACCTTGCAAAGTGTCAAATCTATTATTGCCCCCAGGTGTTGGAGTCTTCTTGTGGGAGTCGTATGGCTCTTCTTGAAATTCACAGAGAACCCATGATTCAGAAGAGTGAGTATTGTGGTCTGAATGTCTAACTGTGCTGCCTGGAAAGAACTGGACTGAACTAGAATATCGTCCAGGTAACATTGTACGCGCACCAGCATCAACCTGAGATGGGCCGCTATGACCGCTAATATCTTTGTGAAGACCCTTGGGGCTGAGGATAGACCGAAGGGAAGGGCCCTGTACTGGTAATGCCGGTGCGCGTAGCAGAACCTGAGAAACTTGTGATATTGCGGGTGTATGGGAATATGTAGATATGCCTCCTCATGTCTCCCTTCCTGATGCTGGCCAATATGGACTTTAGGGACTGCATCTTGAACCTTCTGTAGGTTATGAAATAATTCAGTCCCTTTAAATCCAGTATTGCCCTCCATCCTACTGAGGTCTTGGGAACCACGAACAGAATGGAGTAAAACCCCTTTCCTTCCTGGTCCCTTGGTACTGGTTCTATGGCTTGAATTGCTACCAGATGAGAAATGGCCGAGGCTACCAAGTTTGCTTTGGTGGTGTTTCGGGAGAGTGGACACCTTATGAAACGATCTGGTGGGGGAGAGTAGAATTCTAAGGTGAGACCGTACTTGATGGTCTCTACTACCCAAGCGTCGGAGGTGGTCAGTTCCCAGACGTCGCTGAACCTTTCCAGCCGACCCCCAATGGGAGAGCCCTCCCTGGTGTCACTTGGACCGCCTGTAAGGGCGGCCTCCAGATCCCCTGAAGGGACGCTTAGACTGGAATTGGCCTCTGGCTCCAGTATTTTGGCGATCCTGGGAACGATCCTGTCTGGAGTAGAAGGATCGCGAGCCTCTTGACCAGTCCCAGGATTGCCCTGGCCGAAAGGGCTGTCTCCATTCCCAGGAGCTGCTGGGAGCTGTTTGTTTACGGAACTCCTGTGGTGGTGTCCTGTCCAGTTTCTTGGAAGGATGGACTAAAATCTTGCGCTTGTCCTTGCCTTCACTAACGTGTGGATCCAGGATAGATCCAAACAACAGTGTCCCGCTATATTTGGATGTGGACAGGTGCCATTTAGCCTTCAAATCTGTTTTCCAATGTTTCAGCCATAGAAGCCTTCGAGAGGCAACAGTGGCTGCAATAGATCTTGCAGAATACTTAGTTGAATGTAGGGAAGCGTCAGCCACATATTGTGACGCGGCCACTAGCTTGGCCAGTGTTTGATGTGTTCTAACCTGATCTGGTGGGATGCTGGCTTGTAGCTCGCGAAGCCACATGATACATGCCCTATCGAAAAAGGAGGAAGAAGTTGCAGCCTTGGCCGCCCAGGCCGAGGCCAGGTGTGCCCGACGGAGAGAGAGTTCAAATTTCTGGGCCTCCGCTTTCAGGGCCTCCGCCATGTTCCCTGGAATAGCAGATGTGGAAAACAAGGAGATCAAAAGACTATCAACAGTGGGTACCTCCAAGAGTGAAGCAAATGAAGGAGAAATGTTAAACAGTTTCTTTTCTACACTGTTAGGGGCAGGCGGAGCTGCCAGTGAAGACCATTGTTTTTCCACAGAGGTGCAAAAAACCTGTGGGCAAGGAACATACTTGTCCTCCACTACCTTCTCAGCGAACAGAGGGTTAGCCTCCTGACTGGTAGAAGGATTCTCCTCCTGCACCGAAGTGAGGTTAACAGTAGTAATTGCCTTGATCAAGAAAGATTTGAAGAGAGAAGGGTCAAAGAGACCTGAAGTCGAAGTCTGCTCAGGAGCAGCCTCTTCCTCCAACAAAGGTATGTCACCTACGTCTAGGTCAACCGACTCTGCCTCTCCCAGCTGTGAAGAGATCTCTGAAACACCTGTAGCGGAAACAGTGGCTATCCCTGATTCGGATGGAGGTTGAAAGGTCAGTTGTCCCTTGGAGGCCATAAACTGATTGAATGCATTTTGCATGAAAGACTGGAATTGAGCAGACCATATATCCTCCTGAGAGCTGCCACTAGGGCCAGCGACAGCCGGAACCTGATCAGGTGATGAAGATGATGAGGATGAGGAGCGAGGGGAACCCACCTGCTCAGTTTCCCCCAGAGGAGACCAAGACCTTAGAATTTCCTGAGAAGGAACGAATGTGGGCTCAGGTATAGGGATATCCAATGGAGTGGGGGAAACAATTTCAGCCTCATTGGACCTGAGTCTTTGGGCCCTAGAGAACTGTTTTTCCAATGCCAAATGTCTCCTCGAGGCTTCTCGCTCAGCTGTTTTAGAGGGCTCCTTCTGTGATATATGCTTTGTTTTGGCTTTTTTCTTCCCCCCCCCCCCAACTCTGATTCAGTGGATCTGCGCTTTTGTTGTGGGGGAGGCATTCTGGAGCTCTGTGAAGCTGAAGGCGAGGCGCTGTCTGCCATTGCGAACCAGGTATACCGAGTAAGAAATACCTGGAGGTGGGGGGGGGGGAGGAAACCCAAGTATGCAGACCAGTTGACAGAGATGGAAAGAACCCAATCCTCGCTCTGTGCAACCGCAATGGCCGGACAGTCAGCCGCGTCACTAAAGACACCTGTCAGGCCAATGACAAATGCCACCCTACTAGAACAGTTGGGAAATAAAAGGATCTTCCCTCTTGCTCCTTCACCAGGGAATCAGTATTGCTAGTACAGGAAGTACACAGATATGCTGACAGTAAAGAAGACGGCTCAGTAAATGCTGACAGGCTGAGCTTATTTCCCCCTCCCCCAATATGGGGCTGACAAGTCAGACCCCAGGGGTGTCTCGGATATCCCTCCTGCAAGGGCTATTAATGTCCCTTCACTCAATGGAGAAATTAGGAATCTCTGTGCAGATAGACCCACCCAAAATGGTGGACGTCTATAAAACACACCCAAAATGGTGTCCGGTGTTGAAAACGCCCTCAAAATGGCAGCCGCCAGTGAAGCACGCGGTCAAAATGGCGGCCGCGCCCCCTATTAGAAGATTCCCCAGATGATGGAAGTTAGAGCTAGAATGGGGCAAAAAAACGATAGACAAGTGAACAGACAGGGCCAAAGGGAACCCGATAAGTCACTTGCGTTTCCGCGTCACTTTTGCGAGGCTGGAATGTGTATTCCGTGAGGGCTCCTCCAATCAGCTCCGGCCACTGAAAAGGCTCTCTGCGCCTTAGCTATGCGGCCGTCAGCCGCTGTTGTTGCCGGTTGCAATCCAAGGCTCGCCCAATCAAGGAAATGAGCGGTCTGAGTCAGCTAACAAGCCTAAGCTCAAAGTCCGAGACCGATGCGAGAAAGGACGCTGGTGAGTCAAGCGGACTGAATCAGCAGGAGGCCCGGAGCTGAAACCAGAAGGCCAGGCCTGGCTGCCTCCCTAGTTTGATAAATTTAGTGAATTTGTCAAGCGGATTTGAACATTGCCAATTGAAATCTAATTAAATAAGTTCTAATTGAAGCCTAATCTAAGTAAATTCACTTTTTTAAAAAAACTAATCTACCTATGGAGCCTGAACAATTACGTGCTGCCGAGCTCAAGACTAAGTCAAAACTGGGGAGGCACGCCCAAAGGAGAGGCGTGGCCAAAGTTCTGACCTAGTCTGCTGAGCAGGAAGGCTGTAACAACCCATCCAGTGGATTCTACAGTCATCCTGCTGGAGAATGGCTAAGCATATACGGTAGTTGAGCCAAGTTTCAAAATATATTTTAGAGATTTAAATATACTTTAGAGATTATATTCAATTCAGAATTGGCAATATCAAATCAATTCTACACACACCTAACAACTTGGCTGTGAAAAAAGTATATTCCAGTAACTGATTCTTATTCCCATCTATATAAAGTTTCTGGTTTGAATGCAACCTGAGCTTTTTGATTCTTTGCACACGAGTAGTTTAACTTACAGAACTAGAGGATAAATATATTTGAAAAGAAAGGTTCAGTTTTTCATTGCTAAAGTCATAAACATTTAAATTTCATCAGGATTTTATATGAATAACTTTTTGTTCAACAGTCAGAGTCTATATGGTCAAAGGTAGTGACTGTTATTTTGTAACTGATTTTGGAATGTAATAACTTTTATTTGTCTATGCATACTAACCATTGTCCTGCTGAAAGATAAACATTTATTTAACGTTTTGGTTTTATGCTCAAACACTGCAGCCATTAATTATATGTGATCTATTAGAAAACATTAAAACTATATATAATTAAAAACTATGGTCAATATTATTGATTGGTTCAAAACAAATACTGCCCAAATTATTCATGACATGTTTTTTATTGGGTAAGCAGCTGCCATTTTTAAGTTCATATATTAAAATATTGAAGTACATAGAAATGTTTCCCAGTATTTTTAACCTTGTTCATTGGCTAAAAGCCCAGAAAGATTTGACAAATTGATTGTTAATATAGGCAGAAAATTGTCTGTATTGTAAGCAAATGAGTAATTTTAACATAAGAAAATTGAATCTGATCCATGAATCATACGCAACTTTAATATGTTGTGACTTGTGGTTGCTGATGAACTGCAGGCAATAAAGAATGAAGACTCAGGCCTTTAGGTTCTTGATATTGTGCATTTAAAGGAGTTAAATATTTGTTCTAAATGTATGTACATGGAAATAAAACATTAAAAATCACGAACACTGAAGAATGGGACTTACATGTAGAGAGAGCTTGCTTTTTGCCTTTCAAGCCAGATTGCCTTTGTAAATAGTCATAATACTCATATTTATCATGATCTGGATATATAAAATATTATTCGATTAGATTGTTTTGGATGGGTTTACGTTTTAAGACATGAGGATATTTTAGATAAGCTTTGCTCAGCTAACTACCTATTTGATCCTTGGTCCTAATGGCTTATTAGATCTAGAATGGGGAGCTTAATTGGGTCAGGAAAGTTTTTAAAAAATCATTACTAAAAAAGAATACCGTAAATGCCGGCGTATAAGACGACTTCCGCGAGCACTGAAATCGGCGCCAAAGACGGGGGTCGTCTTATACGCCGGAAATACTGGTAGTTTCCGGTGTATAAGACGACGTTCTAGGAATGCGGCCCGGCTATAAAGATGGGGGTCATCTTATACGCCGGGTCGCCTAATACGCCGGCATATACGGTAATTGCATCATCAATATAATGTGATAGAAATTGGCCTAGAGACTTGTGATCAACCTGCTTTCTCTGCATCAAATACTAAAGAAAGGGTGGCTGATCAAATCCAGTCTTGGATGAAAGAGGTTTATTATATTTTAGTTGGAGTTATTGCTGAGGTCACCAGACATCTCAGCAGTTTTCAGTACCTTCAGACTATAGTATCCTTTTGATACTAGGAATGAATGAGCTTTAGTTATTCTCCTTCTACCATACTTACTGATTGGGAGGGTGGTATTCAGATGCAGAGCTCTGTTTTATCCTCCATCTGTATAACATCTACATTTGGTTTCTCAACTTTGAGGAACTTCCAGATGTGTGGATTTCTATTCCCAGAATTCCCCAGCCCCTAATTAGTGGCCATAGGTCTGAACATGATTGGGAAAAAGTTAAATTGCTGAGTACATTCCAAGATTTATAATAAAATGACACCAGTATGTTGATGACATGCTACTCTGTCTGCTTTTTATATGCTCCAGAGGAAGTTTTGAAATACTTGGACTGGATGTAGATAAACAAATTGAAACGTAACTGGACAAGGCAGTTATACTAGTAGATCAGTGTTTCTCAACCTTGACAATTTTAAGGCATGTGGACTTCAATGCTGGCTGTGGAATTCTGGGAGTTGAAGTCCACATGCCTTAAAATTGTCAAGATTGAGAAATACTGTAGTAGATGGTTTTTATGTCCGGTTGAGGTGTTCTGAAAAAGGTTGTATTTCCCCTAAATGTCTTTGGAGATTCTCAATCATCCAGGTCATGGTTGTTTAGAACTGAAGAAGCTTCTTGGATAAGAAGCAAAATGTTTTTAAGGAAAAAAACCAAAAAAGTGCAGTTGCCATTTGAAAAGCATCTTTGAGATAATTCCCTAAAGTATCAAGTTTGTTTTCTGGGTGCTTCTAGATTTCTTCAGTAATTACAGGAACAAGTAAACTCTATAGCACATAAAAGCTTTAAGCATTTATGATCATCTTTGCATGGAGATGGTCTCATTTTAATAATACACAGCCTGGTAACTTCCAACTTCCATCCTGGATTATTACAATACTGTACAGTATATGTGAAACTGCCATTGAAGATGGTCTGGAAACTTGATTCTAAAAATTATTGGAACTGGATTCTATTGTTGGAATTCAGCTTTGCATGCAATATTTTCTATACCTGTGAAGCTGATTACTAAGGGGAATAGATGAAGAGATAACTAGCAAAAGTATACTTAATTTCCTTTTATCTTAAAAATTTACATTTTATATCCATGTGTAACACTCTATTATAAATTATAATGATATTCTTAAGACTGTCACTTGCTTTGCCTCTCAGTTCAGTCTCTTTTTTCTTCTGACTCTGACTAGTGCAGGTCAGGTTCTCATCTGATTTGTTTTCTCTCTATAATGGACTGTGCAAGAGCACAGTACAAGTTATTAGCTATAGACACACTTAAGACACTCAAGCCTTTTCTATCACTGTTATTTCCAGGATTAAGCTTATCTTTGTTATGTTTCACCCAAGGAGCTTTCTTACTAAAGTTATTCTGATGATTTTAGTTTTCTTCCTAGGTTCTTTAACTATACCTGTTAACCAGCAAGGAGGTCTTGACCAAGATGAGAGACAGATTTCAAGATTAGGAAGAAAAAAGGTTTGTCTTCTAAAAAAAGTGCTCATTAGTTTACAAATAGACAAATTAAGCATTCTGAATGGATGTGTCCAACAAGGGGAACTGAAGATGCCCTTAACACATCTGGGGCCCCAGACCTGGGGGCATAGGCATGTTTTTAAAGCTTTATGAAAGGACAACCAAATTGGAGCCATTCTAATGTCTGAGAGAAGGATGTTTCAAAGAGCAGGGGCTATACCAGAGAACAATATAAACAATTTAATATAAAATTTATTTGAATATCCAGGAAAAGATGTTAGACTAGGATTATCAAGTCATCATGCAAAATAAAATGAAAGATATATTACAGGACCATGTGTTCATTGAGACCATAATCATTAAGGGAACAATACCCTTGGAAAAGGTAATATGCAGATTAAACTGCAGGGACTATTTCAGCAAAGCAGCAGGATTTCTCAGCTATATAACTATATAACAAGAAGCTTTCGGTTGCAAAGAATTATCATACGAATTCATTTCTGGAAATTTTAAAGCACTTGGAAAGCCAAAATAAAATATTATCTGAAGCAACTAAAAGAAGCACATCTCACAATTTGCCTTCAGAACATCAGGGGATTATTAATGTTCTTTGGACGGAAGAAAATTAAACATTGACTTTGTAATGATGTAATTTTAGAAAACAATCTGAGAAAAAAAGTAAAATTAGAAGCAGTATCATTTAAATTAATCAGCAGGAAGCCTTTCTGGAGAAGCACTCTCCATATGAAAGAGTGTTGCCCTATGTAGAAACGGAAGAGATAAACTTCCAAAGTGATGACTGGAAAAGAAAAGGGGGAGCAAAGCCAAACCTTATGTTGCCAGAGGAAAAAATCTGTACCATAAATCTTAATAACCTGCCCAATGAAGTTAAATTCACTTGTGTATTGGGCTAATATTCTAGAATTTCAAGAGTTCAAACTAGCTTATTTAATTAGTGAAACTTAAGTACCTGTTGTACTTTGCAAATAGATCAAAATTAGGGAACAATTTGATTTGTAGAATTAATGAGAAACAGATATAAAAATGCTGACTCATGGTGTATTAAATTCCGTCTTTGGAAAACAGTCTTTCAAGTACAAGAATAGACAAACTGGGTGTAAAATGATTTTCCAAGAAAATTACTGCTTGGTTTATCCAGATAATGTTCAATATATAACTGAGAAATAAAATACTGTAGAAGAGTATTGGCATGAAGACTGTGTGAAACTACGGAGTCTGAGATTTTGCCACAGAAATATAGTATATATTTCAATTTAATAAAAGGCAAATTGACAAAGGAGCTGAAAAGACATTGCTAGTTCCAAGAAAAAAAAGCTATAATGAGAACCACCTATTGGCCATCTAAGGGGAAGAGTCAAAAGGGCAGGACACCACCAGTCTACATCGTAGCTCTTGCATCAGTGCCAAGAAGATTCCACAACCAATTGTACCCTGGGGGCACACATGAACCCCCAAGTGGTTTCAAGAGCTCTCAGAGAGTGCTAACAAACCAGATGACTGCAAAGAAACACAAGCCTTCCATCCCCTCCTCCACCATCCAGTCAGAAACTATCCTTCCATCCTCCCACTAGCCAGTCTCAACTGTCAGTACCTATCTGCCATCCCACCCACCCCCCCTCACAACTGATGGAGTTTCTTGGATGAAAAACGAAACGTTTTGTTCTTCATCAAGGAAAAAAACAGTCCAGTTGCCTTTTGAAAAAGCACTTTTGAGACAGGTATGACCTGGATGACTGAGAATCCCCACAGATATTTAGTCAAAAAGTTATTAAAATGAGCATTTAAATTAATGCAGATATCTAGAACCTTGTAAGTCAATGGAAGAACTCTTATTTGTGGACATTATTGATGACTTAATGTTATCACTTTAATTACTTGAATCTGAGTAGCTGCTTTTTCAATAAATTCTACTTCTAAAGCTTTGAATGTGGATAGGAAAAAATTTAATCTTTTATATCAATTCAGTTCATGAAATGATTCAGTATTGCCAATATAATCTAGTTCTTTCACATTTTAATCACTTTTTGTATTATTTAAAAATAAAAGATTGGAATCTATTGTCCATTTTATGAGAAACAAAAATATAAGCCTTGGGGTAAATTTAAGTTTGTCCTGTTTTCCTACACAAGCCTTAATATGCTAATTTACAGCCTAGCACTCAAGCCCCATACTGTATTGAACAATTCCACAAATATATGTTTATACAGGAAGCCAAGGAGTGAGTGTGAAAATAGCAAATTCTGAAATTCCTGGGTTTTTCCAATCAAAACCATGACCTTTAAACTTTGCTTCAAGGTATTTTCAAATAATCCAAAGAGAAGCTTTGCTAGGAAGGGAGATGGTTCAGCAGAATCCTTTGCCAAAGAGGTGAGGGCATGAGGCAAGTTCTCCTTTTGGGGCTGGCTGGATATTGAGGGAGGGTTCAGACCCAAAGCCAACAAGTTTTATTCTTAAAGGTTATTTCAGTTGCCACTATTTCTAATGCACTGTTTGGTTCTTTTCTTGACTCCCAAAGAGATTGATTTTTCTTTTTTTTTTTTCTTTTTTGTCACAACTCCCCAACCAGTCTAAGGCATTTTACTTTCAACTGTATCCTTGAGTTGCCAGCTAAGAAAATGTTACAATCCTGCTTTCAACCTTCATTGTTGCAGCTTCTAAACCTGCAAAGTATTGGGCTCAGCTGGATTTTAATATAGTTGTTCTCTTCAAGTACCTTGCTTTTCAGCTTCCTCTCATATAGGCTTGTAAAACAGACTTATACTTTTTAGGTAAGATTTTCTAAGATTTCACATATATATGTTTCCATATTATCATTTTCTTCTATATTTCTTTGTTCACCCCTCCCCCAAAGTTGGCCTCTTTTTCTCTCCCTTTCTATTCACTAGTTCCCATGGCAACCAAAACTATCACAGCCTGCTTCTTATCCTAGGTTAACTCGGTTGGCCAATCCTTATACTTAGTGGAAGTGAAAAGTAACTTTTAGGTAGTAAACATAATTTTTTTGTATGCAGATCATTCAGAAATATCATTGTACACACCTTTGATTTTTATACATATGTTTCGGCTGCTTATTTTTATTTTTCATCTAGAAGACACAATAAAGTTATAGAATTACTATTCTATCATAATGGAAAAATTTAGTAGGATCAGATTGTTACATTCCAATATACAAAACTACAACAATCAATTTAGGTGGATCCATAGATGACTTAATTCCATACCTAAAAATTGTTCATTGGATTGGAAAGTAGGCATTGGCAAAAACTTACTTTAACACCAGGTGTCTAGTTTATAGGTAGCACATTTAAAAAGAATTCATACTGGACTAAGCATAAAGAAAAACAGGGACTAATGACACTACTAATTAAACTGTACTAATGTGGCTGAAGAACATATCTAGGAGATGGATTTTCATCATTTTTTAAAGTACTTTTAAATTTACTATCTGAAGTTAACATCTACCAATATTAAAAAATGTACAATAATAGAGTAATTGCTTGATAGAACCAATATAATCCAATCAATCTTATTTTGAATTTGGGATCTTCCTAAGAGATAAAAATTCCATCATATGATCACAGCTTAGAGCTGTTTATATTTATGTCAAAAATGATAAATAGCATACTTTATGGTATTAGAGCAATGGTGCAAAATTAGAGATTAGGTATTGAATATATCATGAATTTTATAGGAATACATCCTAAATCTATCATCTAATACCATTAGCATCAATGCCAATGAAAAATATAGAAATTAAAGACTTATATCACTGATATAAATCCAGCTTTCAAAAGAGGATGTTCAGGATGTTAAAAACTGATTAAGATAAATATCATAAATCAGGAATAAGAATGGATATGCTTATGGCACCAACGTGTAATACACATCACAAATTACCTTTATGCCATAAACTAAATGCCAATGTTGCAATATAGTTCTTTGTGGGATAACTATCATGAAAATGTTATTCTAAAATAATATCCTAAAACCCACTGTTAAATTACAGTTCATGTCTATGCCTATGTTGCATCATAATACAGCGGCTTACGGTGGAAACTATATGATAGTTATTACATTTACAGACCAATATCCAAAATACATTATAGTTATATATAACTATGATATGTTATATACAAAGTATAATAGTCACAATGAAATTCTATGTATGCATCATCTTATTGCAGGTCTCTCATACATATTATTATGCAGCTACTATACTACAATGTGATCTCAGTTAAATACTGAACATTGTATAATAATACTGAGTAAATCCAATCAAAGGATCAAAAGCTACTATGATTCATTGTTTTAATTTTGATTATGTAATATGTATTCAAACATGGCTATTCCTTTAACATGATATTGAAGAAATTAATTTAGGATCTATTCATGTAGGATTGCATGACATGCAGGACATCATATTGCAGTGTCTTAAAATCGATCCATTGTTTTGTGTTGCTATTAACAGCAGACTGTCAAATGGTTTAGCTGTCAGTTATGTGTTCCATTATCAGGTTTCTGTGCCGTGGTACTGTTGCAAATTGTGAAGCTGAACAAGAGATATGGTGGCGAACTGTGTGTGAGTATTGAGGGGGGAGGAGTCCTTGGAAAAAAAAAAACTCCATGCTTTGGAATGTGCAGTGATCCCAGATACATACAAGGCAAAGTTAATCCATTAGAAATACTCCAAAATATAATCATCCACTATCTTTATAGGATCAATCAAAACATTGCAAATTTGCAAATTATAAAGTCTTTCAAGTTTTGAATAATTCTTCATTGAGCTATTAAGCAAAATAAATTTGGATTTTATGTTGGAATAGTGGATACAGGTTTGAATTAGCTGTTTTCACTTCACTGTCATATTACAAACTATGGATCTTTTGTTTGCAATGCAGGGTATCATTTGGAAAATAAATCAGCTATATATATATGTAATAAAAATTAAGATTCATGGTTTAACTTCATAGCAGGATCACAAAGCACTGATCCATTATATTTACACTATACTGAATGGACAAGAATGTGAGATATAATTTGATGGATTAGCAGAAACCTGATAAATGCCCCATTTAATACTTACTCTAACATTTTCTTCTGAAAATGGTAATGCATTTATGTTACCACATTTTTTGCTCAGGAAAAGAGAGATTCTTCCGAACAAGCCTTCTACTGTACTACCTCCTTCATGGAATTTTACAAGGGCAGGGGCAAAAAAATAATACAACCTTAGTTTCCCATCACTTTCGTCTTTAAAAAAATGAAAACAGATTCTATTGAGGAAAAAATAATAAAAACACAATATTATTTGACACTAGTGTTTGGAGGCATTTGTCTGGAAGCACCATAAAATTCTGGAAGCACTATAAAATTCAGCTATCAAATGAGATTCTGTAAAGAAACTAACCAACCTTCTTCTATAAAGGACTTTTTTTTGTATAATGGTGAACCATTCCCATTACAAAAAGGAATAATAGAAATTGATATGGGCTGTTTAAAAGACTCTTCATTCATTGATCGCAGCTTGCCTGATTCAGACTAACCCATGTACAATATAGTCTTGCTCAAACCAGACAAAATGTCACATTTAGTTCCATGCAGATGCAAACTATATTAAAAGTAGATGTCATACTAAAGCAATTGGATTTTATTAATGCCTTTAACAAGGCAAAACCGTTTTTTTCCTTATTAAGACCGAAATATTCCCAAAAGAGAATGCAGCGTGTGAAGCACAATGTCTTCTAGCTAGTTAGACAAGAAACCGAAGATGAACAGAGAGGCTGATCACCTGCCAGATCGCTCAAAGACTTTGCAGGATGGCGCGAGTTATCATAACTATATTCGGGTGCTTATTACACCTGTGAACCTGTCAGGTGCTGCCCTTGTTCTAAGCGTCGTCGAGGAGCAGATATTCGGCAGACTTTTCTACCCTCCCTGGGCCCGAACGAGCCACGCTCACGCATAGACAGGGCGCCTCTACGCACGTTTCAAGCAAAGTCTGCGCTGCTTGGAAGGTCTGAGCTGAAAAAGCCCCGGCCAACCCCTCCGCGAAGCTCCAGATAGGCGGGCAGGCGGAGGACTAACGAAATGGGTCACTACGACTTTAAGAGTCCCTTTGTCTCGGAAACATCCTTATTTACCCTCCTGCGATTCAACCAAGCTTAACCCCACATCCTCCCCCCCCAGCCACCCGCGATTCACAAGTCGAAGAATGTCACAGTTCCTGGGTGGAGCTAAATGTACTGCCGGCTCCTGTTTTGAGAAAGGCTCCCGTGCAAAGCTTCCAGTTAGGAGAATGGAGCTAGGATTTCTGAGATTCTGCCAACGCCACCAGTAAGCCATTCGTTCAACAGGAAAGGAGCCCAAGTTCCTTTGAGCAAAGCCGTTAGAATCTTTTTGATTCTTGAAAAGAACGTACATCCTCCAACGCGCCACTCGCGTAAATCAGGGACCGCTTCCCGCTTTTTCTTGTTACGTATATGACGTTAAGAAAAAAAAAAGAATCGTCCCAGAAAACTCTGGACTGCGTTCGTGCGCAGACGGCGTAAACAAGATAGCTGAATAGTGAAAGCGTCACATGGCCGAGGGTGGGACGGAAATAATGAGTGGCGTGCGCGTTATCCAATGACAACGAGGGGCGGAGTGAAGTTGGCAGCCAATGGGAGGCGGGGGGGCGTGTCGTGTACCGGTTGGGGTGTCTCGCGCTTGGTGACAGCTCGCGCGTGCTGATGATGGCGGTAAATAAAGGGGCCGGAGGGGGGGCGGGGGCTTTACCCCCTTGGGGTTTAGACCTTAAATAGGGGGAAGTAGGAGAGCCCTTCCTGAGATAGAAAGGGCTGTTTTGTGCGTGGTTGTAGCCGGTTGGGGAGACTCTACCCCCCAATTGTCGTGGAAGGTTTGAGGGGGCTCCACCCCTTTGAAGCTCAGATTGCACATTGGGGACATGAAGGCTGTGCTCATTTAAGCCCCACCTTCTGATTTGGAGGGAATCTCCCTCACGCGTTTGGGCAGGCCGGTAGAGGGGAAGGGGTCTTGACCCCTAAAGAGTAGGGGGTGGGGGAGAACCTTTCTTCTTTCAGTCCCTCCTAAGGGGGTAAGGAAGGTTGTGCTCACCGAGAAGGGAAAGCGCTGGCCTCTCTTAGAGGGAGCGGGGAAGAAGACAGGAGTCAACCCTCCCAAATGAAAAGATGGATAGCTGTGACAGGATTTGCCCGATCAAGCAAAGATATTAGCCAACAACTGACTTTTGAAGGTCTGAGACAGACTCTGCTCTGGTAAACACAGGCTGTGCTCTTGTGTATAGTGAGAGCTAGGAGTATATTAAACCCATAGGATTCTGTGAGATAGCTTGAGGACTCGGCAAAAAAAAAGAGGGGGGGGAGTAAACTAGTAGACATTAAACTTGCAGGATGCTGGAAGAAAGGCACTTTAAGGAGATTTAAGAATTACATTAAGAACTGGGTAGGTAAAGCATAGTTGCTGAAAGCTAAAAGAGTTGTGTGCATGTTCATAGTTGTTGCCATTTGTGGCTGGAGAGCAGCAAAAGTGGGAAGAAATAACTGTAGGCAAAGTAGCAATTGTTTTAATAAGTAGTATATTGTTGGAAGTGGTGGCATAAACAATATGGAAAAAAGTTGGAATAGTGATAGGCAACAGGAAGGGTTCATGCTGTTGTTGCTTGGTTGTGTGTAGTTCTTTGTTCGCAAGTTAGAATCTTACATGGTCAATTTCAAGTAAGATGTTTGTAACTTTTCCACAACATTACAGCTTAAGTATCTTAAAATTATTTTTAGAATGTATTTTGTGATTTGAAGTTTTCTTGTTATCAGCATGTTGATATAAATAGCAAGATTTGGGGAGATCAGGTGATAGAGGTTATGTGTCCCTAGCAATGTATTTGGGAATTCTTGGCCTTTAAACATGGATTGAGCTTTTGTAACAATTCATTTTCAAATGCTGTTTGTTATATAGCAGCTATGATGTTGAGATTATTAATACTGCATTTTCATCTAAACATAAGTTTTGATGTAATTATGTTGATACAATGGCTCTTTAATATCTACCCTATTTTATCACTGAAAATATTTTAATATACAGGAAAACAAATGAAGCAATTTTATTTTTGAAGAATTAACTAGTTGCTTTGATAGGTGGGCATGATCTTATAATGGTAAACTGCAACCTAAACAGAATCTCTAGCCATCTGCATATTTAAATACTGTTCTGTCTGTTAAAAGTTTTAGAGTTCTTATTGTTTAAAAATGTATTGGTTCACCGATCTTTCAAAAGGAAGCAAAGTTTTGCTTTTTTTTTCTCACCCAAATTTTAATAGAAAATAAGGTGGAGCCAAGACTTCACTCTTAACTAGTATCTTTATTAAAATATAGTATATAGAAAATAATAGTGAAGGTGTAAAATCAAGCATCTCTGGTTCTTTTATGTTTTCTCCTAAGTCTTTTGTGAAATCTGGTTCTTTTTTTGGTCAAAATAAACCATTTTAGGGTAGGTTTCTCACTTTCTAAAATTAAAATTCATGTTAAATACTATTTACTGTTCATTAGTATATGAACAATTGTTTTAAATTTATATAGAGAAAATGAGAATGTACTTTCCCACTTATGGAGGATATGTAGAATGAATGCTTAAAGTGCAGAATATGGAAACATATTTCTAATATAATGTGCATTTTTAAATGTTAGCTATCCATATTGATTTACTTGGTACTAATCATGAAAAACATTGGTAATAGAGGCGTAGATGTTCTTAAACATTTAAACAAATACTAATGGGTGATACAATTCATATACAGTTGCAAAAATAAGATACTATTTCAGTTTATTGCTTTTCAATTATGCTGTCCTTTTAAAAATATTTTTTACTATTACAATATCAAATTTCAGCTTACTTATACAATTATGTGTTATAATGCAAAAGGAAGAATCAGAGCATAGAATATGGATTTTACAAGTAGAGAAATATGGGGCCTTCCAGATATTGGATTGCTGTTCTATCATCCCAACTATTGGCCATGATGGCTAAGACTAATCAGACTTGGAGTTCAACATTATCTGCCCATACTTTGTTCCTTTTCTAAATATACTTTTACAAGTTTAATTTCCTATTCAAAAGTGCCAATGGTTGTTTCACTTTTATTCCTAGTTGGCTTTACTTACTAGATTTTTCTAATGTAAAAACTCTAGAGGCTAGCAAGTATCCATGAATAGTATATTTTAGAATTGGGTTCATAGTAGTGAAGTAATTGAAATATTGGAGAGAGGTCATTTATCTTCACTTATTCTTTTCTTTCTAACAATTGAGATAAGTATTATTTGGCTAAGGATTTGCAATGCTGGAGGAAAGAGGTTTCCTCTGAGGGGTAATTGTGCTAGGTACATTTTGCTGTGGATGGCACCCATAGGAAAATCTGTTCTACTATTTTCAACGTACTAGTTCATCTTGACTGAATAATTCTGGCTCTAAGTTGCCATACCCATTCAAAATGATCCCTCTAAGTATTTCCTAGTCTGACAAATGGTAGACAATATAGAAGCATCCATCTTTACAATCATTTACAGCAAAAAAATTTGCAATGCAGAATTAATAAGAATTATTAAATAGAATTATATTTTCAGTTTGGAATATAAAATCACAATCTTCTGGTTATTTTCTGTGATCCATTTAAATTCAACTTAATTGTAAATAGTATTTGGCTGTAAAGGCTGTTGATTACCTTCTTTCTTCCACTTCAGCCACTATTTCAACTGCTGAGATGTTGTATTCCAAAGAGAGTTGATAGGCATGGAAATTAGTTGGGGGCTGAAGGGAAGTACTGAAACTTGAATGTTATGGATTTGGGGACAAAGGGGTGGGTGGGCAGTCAATAAAAGCAACAGGAAGGAGGCCCAGAGTAAAAAACAGAAATTTTAGTAGATTAATTAGAGAAAAATGCTTAGGAAAGTAAGCTTACTGAAGGAGTAATGGATGATGACTTTTTTTTGATGCAATTAAAATGTAATTGCTATGATATAATACAATATCCTGTAAGAAAGGATAAGAAAAGTAAGGGATAGCATATTGTAGATGTGAAAGAGCACTGTAGTGCTAAGAAATACTATATTTCACATGATTTTTTTTATCCTTGCCAATATTCAAGGGTTAGCTGGATCTGCATTATCTCCAGAATCCACTAAGACCCAAAATACTGCTGCTTTGACTTTATTTGGTTCTTTTCACAAATGCTTCAGTGATATTCTTAAATGTGCTTTTTTGTAGCAAATTTAAAGATAGATGTTGAAAATACGAAAAGAAAAAAAGGGATATGTTTAGAGACTATTCTCACATATACAAACAGCCCTTTTAAGCAGCTCATAAAAGGAAGATAACTTTATGAAATCCATTATCAGGTGTTAGCTTTGCAATTTGGGTGCATCCCCTCTATCTATCCAGACAGTAACTAGAAGCTGGGCACTGTAGTAGTTAATGCTAGACTCTCTGAGGGAAAATTATCCATAAATGTCTGTAGAAGACAGCTACATAGGTTTATTCCTTCAATCCTTTTCAATAGCAATATTTAATAACTTCCATCTGTAATTATTTTGAATATTTCTGTTTTAACAACTATGCAATATAACATTGTATGAATATTACTTAGGTTTCTTCAAGTTGCTAAAAAATATAGTAGAATGAAGCATCTTTGTGAAATATTATTTAAATAAATTAAGAATTAGTAACCTTGAAGGAACTGTTTCCACCTCGACTTAACTCTATTTATATCTTTAGTTATAGTTTGATTTGGATGATGTTTATATTGCATAAAAACTATTTTAGACCCTTAAGGTTTTAAAAAAGATAACATTTTGATATATGGAAAATGTTCAGATGAGAATATCTTCATTACACCTTACGCCTTCACGTTTAATTGTCAGTCACTGAATTATTTAAGGAATAAATGTAATTTAAATTCAATTTTCAATCCCTGACTATAACAGACTGTGGTTGAATTTGTGCTATTTGCAATTTGGAAATTCGTTTATATTTGTTACCTTAGTATTTTTAAATATTTATTCTTAATTGGCTGTGCAATAAATTACATGTAATGCTGTCATTTGAGTGGATTGTAGTTACTGATAAAGCTTGTGCATAAATGGCCCAGTCCTTTGCAAGCTAGTTGTGTGTGTGCACCCTCAAGAGCTGATAATATGAAAGAAATTGCCACAGATTTATTTGTGCCTTGAAAGAGTGAGATTCAGCAGTTACCAAATCTATTGTGTCAGGACAGCAGGCAGTACTTAGTTTTATCTAGTGTATTATTCTCTTATTGAAAATTATACAAAATAAAGCTCCAGAGCAAAAGTATATATTAAGAACTGTTACATATGACTGGAGATGATAATTTGGGGATCTGGTGGGCACATCTGGAATTTGTGAACATGTTAGGGGAACTCTCACAAAATGGTTGTTGGGGGAGCCTTTTTTATTCACAAAATGGCTGTCATAATGTACCTAGCTGGCTACAGAACACCCCATTATAGGTAAATGGATGAAAGACAAATTGGTCATCTAGCTTTTCCTACTAATCTTATCCTTCCCCAGATCCTTCCTACTGTCTCAGTTTTTTGTTCCTTTTCTCTGGGCATTTCCATACAAATACATGGGCATAACCACTCTTTATGTTTCTGTTCTACAAATGCCTAGGAATCTCTGTGGAGCCCAGAATCATCCTTTTAAATAGATAAGAAGCTTTATCAACTTTCAGTTTTATTTTCAACTGAGATATTTTTAGGATATCAAGTGAGATATGGGAATGTTCGTTCTCACAGGACTAAATTATTATATACTACAGAAATGCAAATACACATTTTCTTTTCTTTTCTTTTTTTTAAGAAATAAAGATTACTACATGCAGTGTTGACCTAAGCTAGATTTCCCCAAGGTTGATTTAATTTATATAACCCATGTACTAAATTTAGGATGGGATGTTAATGGTGATGCAAACTGTTATACTCAATATATTGATTGACCAATATTTTAGGTGGGGAGGACTATAAAATCTTTGCAAACGACCACAATATACTTGTACTTATGTTAAATGAGTTGAAAAGAGAACTAATTAAATAGAGAAAAAAATAAATAATTTTATTGCTAAGCTGGTGGCAAGCATTTTAATAGAATCATTTTTATTAAAGAAATGTAAACGTAGAGTGAACAGGTATTTTTCTTTGCTTGAGGTTAAAATAAAGATGTAAGACATCTTCAGCTACGTACTCGGCTTTGC